CATAATCTTAATAAATAACATATGAATAGTTCAAAAGTATTAGAGTATTTCATAGAGTTTCACACTTTGGGTCATTTAGAAGTATGTCGCGTCATAATTCATAATTTGTTGCTCCATTACGTAATAGTTTTAGATCCTTCGTGGCATTGCATCAATTTTGTGTTCAATATCTTAAAAATCGTTAAAATATGATTGTTACGTTATATTATGGTTCAATGATCTTGAAAATTGTTATAATACAATTGTTATTAATAAGGGTGAATACGAGGTAATATTTGTTCGAAAAAATTATCAATCATTTGATAATGAAAGTTCATACACCCTTACGAACGTTGTGTTCGAACCCGAGACCTCAAGAGATAACAACAATTCCTTAATCATGAGATTTTTCAGATATTTTAATTGATTCAAATTATGTTTTAGACTCATGTTAAGAGTATAGGCTCCTAATTAAACTTTTTAATTAATCTAATTGGATAATTGTAACATACCTTTGGAACGTGTATTTGAGGAGGAAACCTACCCCCAACTGCATATAATATTGTCAACGACGAAAACTGTTATGGGGAAATTAAAAGTTATATCGAATCTATTAACCTTTAATATCGTAAAGAAGATTATATGAATCAACTAAATTAAACCCTTGATTCTTATTTATCGCTTTATTTACAATTTTTCGAGTATCGTTCTCTTCCACTCTTCTATTCATGGTAACTAAATGTAAAATCTTCCCTTGCTTCATGCAACATGAACGTCAATCCAGGGATTATCAAGTTGAAGAAACATTTGGAGGGATTAGGCTACTTGTAGTTTTCAATCTTAATTTCAGTTCCAGCAACAAATTGTCATGTTTGATCTCCATCTGTGTTCGGTTCAATGTTATTGTTATGGGACTTTGATTTTTTTTTTTTTTTGCTCGGTGAATATGATTTATTAGATGAATCATATAGGTCTATGCGAGAGTTTAGTGTCTCCTTAAAAACCTCTCTAATCCTAAATAGAGGAAAAAAGTACAACTCAACCAGAAAATAAACAAACATCACTCCAAAATAAAGAATTTTAACCCATCAATGCCTGCAGAGTCTCTTCATCACAAAATAATAACATCGGTTTACCAAAACCTATAACCAGCAAAATAGTAGGTAACAAAACTATTAAGAGTTTTATGTCGTCAGCTTGATATATCTCCTTTAAGGCTTTAACGATATAAAATCCATTGTTATAATATGAATTAATGTATTGTCTATTAAGAGATGCCCAATACCAAGATACAACAGTTGTAAGACTAATAAAAGATTATACTCTACCTCAGCCATGTCTATTAATGACAATGAATTAAAGTGATGAACAAAATAAAAGTAGGGAGACCAAAGTGATAAAAAAAATGCAAATTCTACTCTAATAAAGGATCAAAATTGATATTAAACATTTTCCACCTTCTTGTGATTATATTATTTAATTAATACAATGAAGGCATCTGCCTTTTTACTTTATAAACAAAGATTCAAAGGATTAACCCTTATTTATTTGAAAACTTCAGTGTGGATGAACACTGTTAACGATAAACATCATTAAATTAATTTATAAAACATTAAATAATAAAGTAGTAAACGTATAATTATAAATTAATTAAAAATATAAATGTAAATTTAATTAAAATACACTATTTATAAAACATTAGTTTTTATGGTAAACTATACCATTAACCAGCATTTTTACCTCTACCACCGATTTTTTAATTTTGTCAATCGAGTCATCTAACTATTTAATTATTGTCAATCAATCCACATATCGTTAAATATTAACGGAGAAGATGACACAGTAGTTATCAAATTTGTATAATTACACATTTAATCCCATTACTCTCATCAATCGATCGACCCCATTGTCGTCACACACCGTCCTTAAATATTATTGTGCAAAATTATTTCTTCCATCAACAATCACTTGATCATCGTCGTTGATTAGGCTACACCGCCACCCGAACCTCTAACCATCACTTACCTCAATCTTTGATTTTTAAGGGGATTCATTTGGAGGATAAAGTGTACGAATTATCATTAAAATATATTGAAATGATATTTTTGAGTATTAGAATTTTAAAAATTATAAAATATCATTAAACTCTCTAAATAATTATCATCAAGTTTTATCCAATTATTATAAAATAGTCCTTAAACTTATCAAAATTTATTATTGTTTTATAACATGTAAGAAATATTTTATAACAATTTTATAAGTAGTTTAACTATTTTATAACTTCTAAATTAAAAAAATATTTCTATCTAATATAGTAACATTTATACATTTTTAATGTATAATCATTGATACAAGAACATGGGTGAATGATTAATCAGCCAATAACTTTGCTGAAATAAGCATGTTTAGATCTTATCCTGGGGACGTCATCAATTCGAATGTAATTGAGTATGAGATCTTTGTTTTAGCCCAAAAAATGGAAGGGTAGGGAAAGGGAGATGAATGATGAGTTAATTGATTGATAAATAGCGATAGCACAACGGATAGGATGGTGACTTATAAGATAGCTACGGCCGAAGCAAATCCAAACACGTGATTTCTGTGGGCGGTGGCCGCGACTCTGGGAACACTGAATCCAACCCATATGATTTTTAATAAATTATGCCACGTGTTATGACATGATTCTACCCATATGTGTTCTTAGTGGTTCATGCATGGTAAAACGGTTATGGGGTGGGTTTATCATCTTTGAACTTATGCTCTAGTTTGAGCCCAAATACAAGCTTGATTTTCTTCAAATTATAGCCCAAATAGCCAACCCATTTCTCAGAAACCCTCAATTGTTCATGGGCACCATCTTCTTTAGAATTAAACCAACTCTTGGATTTCCATAATTGAGCTCTCCATGTTGTGGCGCATCAATTATATATATAGGAATGAAACTGGTACATACATAAACGATAACAAAATGAAAATTAAATACGGTGAGACTCGGTAAGATTGTATTCGTATTCGTTTGTTTAGTTTTGTATGTTCGTTTAAAATTTTAATATCATGTGTTGTGCTCGTTTGTTTATTTTTAAAAGTATTCGTGTTCGGTTGATTTAACTTTTACAAACATGTTCATTTATATATTCGCTAATATATTCAATTTAACGTTTACAAACATATTCAAAAATGTCAACTAAATAAATAAATAATTTGAACTCACCCAAGAAGTAGACGAAGTGACAAGAGTGTGTTAAACCAATCTCAAGGGGCACGGATTTAAGTCCCCTAAGCAACCAACACTCCTACCCTTTCTTTTACAAATCAAAAATAGAACGAAACTATATTATTAATCCTTAAGTTTCACGGTATGTACTTTAAAGTTTGTTTAATTTAATCTTTAATGTTGTTGTTCGTAAATATAAGTTAAATGAATATATTTTTATTTATATTTATTAATTTATTGAATGAATATAAAAATTTTATTTACTCTATTTTTATATTTATTTATTTAATGAATTTAATAAATAAATATTATAATAACGTTTCATTTAGCATCAGTAACAGAGATAGTCTCACTGGGGAAGTATGAAACATAGAATCTTCAAGGATCAATGATCTGTTTACCAGACACTTGTCACCACAGCCCTCATTTCGAAAACGCCATTTGAACTGAACTTTATGTGTCCTTAGACAACCTGCAGATGGTGGACACGTTAAGATGCGAAATACCCCCATGAAACCCAGACTATAGTTAGATCATAATGAGATTTAAAAAGTTTTTTTTAACTGTAAACAAGCGTGTGGCCTCAACTCATTGGTTGCATCTGGATTTGTCCCAACGCTACGATCCAAAGCTGGCATTGTCAAACATTTACTTTAAGACGCCAGACGTGGCTTCCCCGCATTGTGCACCACACACGAAATGACTTGGCAGCGGGATTGCCTTTCAATATATTATGTTGGGATTACTCACATATTCATAACCATATTCTTTTATATTTTATATTTTATATTTATTCCCAAGATATTCATTTCACCTCAATTTTATTACTTTATTTTATGTTTAATGGGTTCAGAATATGTGTTCAACATTATCACAATCCAATTTTGGGTGCGAAAATAACTTGTCTTTTTTATAATAAAAAAAATTAAGTACCCTGTGCTTGTATTATAATAAGAATTAAACTATATTGCAAAGTGTGTCATCATGTACTTTTAAAATAAGTCTAATGATATCTTTTATTTTTAAAATATTTAATACTTTAATATTTTATCTTTAAAATAAGAAAAATAATTTTATTAATATATTATTTAAAACAAGTAAAATAATATAATGATTAGAAAACTTATAATTTCATAAAGAAAAAACCAATAGATAATGTATTAATTTGAAATATGAGAATAGCATTATTACGTGACGTGGTATTTCAAACAATCAATTGTTGTTCAATCAAAAGTGTTGTTTTCAACGCAACAATTTTAGCTGAGTAATAATAAATTAAATATTCATGTCATATCACTTCAAAATATTATAATTTTATAATAAAACATTGTGAAGCTTTCTTTTATAATAAATTCTTATAATATCTAAGCTAAAAAATATAATTTTATTAAGTACACATTTGCTCATTTTAAAGTACAGGACCTGTACATATTTGTTTAATAGCAGAAACAAATATTAGAGGAACTTTTCTTATTTTAGGACCCCAAATCCGAATTCTCAAATCACAAAATGGAGACTCCATGCAAGCCCATAACCTATCACGTTACGACATATAACTTCTTGGACTACAAATGGCCAAATTTCATGCTAGTTGAGAGAGAAACCCACAAGGTTGTCCAACAGGTGTCCCAATAAACCAACAGTGCAGTTGGTATTTTCCCTATCAATACCCTGCTTCAGGTCAAGCTCAGCCCCACCCCTCGGATACCCTCACCACCACTTATTATACCCACCTGGTTCCCAATCACCATGTCTATATACATCTTTAGTTCGTTCCCATTCTCTGCTCTGCATTAGTATTACCACCATGTTTGCAAAGAAAGAGCAGCTCCAAGCGGCGACGGTGAAGGTGGAGCTTGGTTTATCAGGTTTAGACCTGGACATGCACCCTATTACAAATGTTAAATCCCACGGAAAGAAGAAGAGAAGATTCAACGACGAACAAATTAGGTTGCTGGAAGTCATGTTCGAGTCGGACTCGAGACCGGAGTCGGTAATAAAACAACAGCTAGCTAATGAGCTTGGACTGTGAAGACACCAAATTTTGTCCCGTTATATAATATATGTCCTTTAATGTCGTTACATTGCATAATATACTTACATTATAGATTATATTATATAATAGTTTATTACATTTACATACATTTATTTTACATGTCACAGGTCCGTTTCACAAATAAAAAAACATTTGCAGGCCCAACAAATCGCTGGAGTGCAGCCCACCACGCATAGGAATAGGGTTTTCTGGAAACCCTAGCTTGCCTCCCTCTTGTCCCAGCCGCCAAACGCCTCGACCGTTGGATCTAGATGAGATCCAACGGTCCACAATAGACCCTATTGTAGGGTTTTAACCTTCACTCATTTCAGCGCCGCAACTGTCCCCTTGCGAGAATCCTCGTGTCCCACGTCTCACCAGGAGCCTATCCCCGGTTATCTCGGCACCAGTTCCCGATCCCCTCGACGCAAGGAAAGCACACGAAGCCAACCATAAACAACAAGCAAGACAGCGTGTTAGTTTAGGACTTCAACAACCAAGCTGAGTTTTACTCGGATTAAAATTCTAAGATAGGGTATTTGTTATATTATAAATAGAGATCTAGAGGAAAGAAATAGAGGAGGAGACTGGTACACAAACACCACACATCTATAGCAAATATAGGGAAGCAAGCCGAATCTTTGTACAACGTTTGAAAGGAAATAAAGGTAGCGTTTTTACCTCATTTTGTTCGTCCTTGGTTTCTTGCATGCGTAGTTACTCGCGTTTTGTGCTTGAAAACCCCAAAGAAAAACATTAAAAGTCGATTACCGGAGTAGGGGTGTACGAAAATTTCTTTTCTAGATCTGCACCCCTACGAGGCTTATTTTAGAAAATGGTGGTGTTTTTCGTGTCAAGGGAGAGAAGGGCTTTCGGAAAAACCATTTTTTTTAGGTTTTGCCGCCGATGAACGGTGGCCGTCGCCGTTCAACGGCGGCGGCGAGGCGGTGTATGGTTATCGGATTCTGGAAATCCGCCGTGTTCTTCATATATGAAGAACATGCGAGAGAGAAATGAAAATAGGAGGGGGGGGGCTTTTGATTTGTGAGGAAAGAAATGAAACTAAAAAAAATTTGTTTGAGTCATATATTAAGCCCGTTCCAGCCTCACGACCCGACCCGACCTGATGAACTCCTCGGACCCGCGTGTTTTTGCAAGAAGCGAGAGATTTGCGTTTTGGTTCTCCAGTTTCAAAAACATTTAATTTGGTCCTCTGAATCGATTATTGAACCCGAAATCCTTGTAAATTGACCCTTGAGTTTATTTCGTTTTCAATTTAATCCCTACTATTATTATATACTATATTTTCATTATTATTATATTTTATTCCCTTATATATATATATATATCTTATGTACATTTTTATTTTATTTTATTATATTTATATTTATATATATATATATATATATACATAACCATCATTATTTTTATTATTTTAAGTATTATTGGTAGCGTATATAAACATATATATTTTTTCTTTTATTATTATATGTATATTCTTTATATTTTTTTCATTTACTTTATTTATTTTTATTCTATTGCGTTTCCTTTTTTATTTAATACATGTTTTATTTATATTCCTTTGTTTTTATAAAATTTTCATTTCTTTGTTTGTATGTTTTTTAGCTATTCATGCATATATGTATATATATATATATTTATTTAGTATATTTTTTTTATTATTTATTTTCCTTTATTTATCTTATTTATCATTAGTTTATTTGTATTGTCTCCTCTTATTTGTATCATTGGTTTTGTGGTTGTTATATCTTATTTATTTTCACCACTCCAAACGTAACGTTTTCTTCTTAATGGTCTTCATTCAATTAATCAGTGGTAAGTAATTTAGGATCAAATTTTACCTTTTAATTTAAAATTACAACTTTCTTGATAAAGACAACTGGAAATTACGTAGTACCGAAAGGGTGGTTCAAGGGTGCTAATCATTCCTTGATCGTAACTGACTCCCGAACCCGACACGTTTCTGGTACAACGCAGATCAGGTAAGAAATAAGGTATCCGATCAACCCATTTTTAATAAAATAAATGGTCGGTGGCGACTCCAATACATTTAATCTAAGTCGAAGCCCAATTCTGGGGCCCAACTGAAAGACGGTTCCGACAGCTTGGCGACTCTTTTGGGGACACAGGTAAGTGAGTCAGGCTAAGGTAATTTACAGTTGTCTTTTTAATGAAAAGGGTAAGTTTGAACTTTAAGGTAACATTTCGATCCTTATTACTTACTTTTGGTTATATTTTTTCGAGTAAATAGTTGGACTGACCGTTTTCTAATGATTTCAGCCTTCCAAACTTTTTCATCCAAAGGCTCTATACCCGAGCTCCGAACCCTTTAAGTGGGGGTGAAAGCGACGCATTCGTGTGAATTTATTCACCGCATATGCCTAGCAAGTAGCCTTCGGGATTCATATACCTTATGTCTTCGTGTGAATTTATTCTCCGCATAGACATAAGGGAATGTGTCCCCTCGAGTTTAACTTAGTCCACACAAGCCTGTGATGGGTTTAGGACTAAGGGTCTGGTAAGCCCAAGGGGGCACCAGCAAGGAGAACTCGGGTACCGTTTTTTAGAACCTAAACCAGGAGACTTCGAAGAAATAGAGCATGCCCCAAAACCACATTCCAGAACCTAGGACAGTTCTTTCCTAACCATTTGTTTTTCCTTATGTTTTTTCTTGCCATTTATTTCTTGTTATTTTTATTTTTGTTTTACTAACTATTTGCCTTTGTGTTTGTTTTTAGCATTTGCATCATAACAAGAGGTCATTGATCCCTAAAAAGACGTTCATTACGTACAAAATAATCTGAATTAATGGATAAAGGTGTTGTAATACAAGAGATTAAAAACCCTGAGGTACGACTATGGTCCGAGAAGACTCAGAAGGAAAAGGGAGACAGTCTTCAAGACAGCTATGTGTCAGAGCTGGTTAGCTACGCCTCGATCAGCCTAAAGCAGAATGACGTACAAGAGCTCCGGGACATCTGGGACAGTTGGAAGAATGAGGTGAAACAGAAGTTCAGCCAACGGTATGGTGATGTTGCACTTTTGCTTCATGTTAAGATTGATGAGCCCCTAATTAGAGCCTTGGTTCAATTCTGGAACCCGGGATACAGTTGTTTCACCTTTAACCGGGAAGACATGGTGCCCACCATAGAAGAGTACACTATACTGCTGCATTGTGAAAACATCAAACTCGAGCGGGCCTACCTTAAGCACATTAAAAGTCAACCTTTCAAAAATGCACTAGCTAAGGTTGCCGGAGTTGATGAAAAATGGGTAACTGACCGAGCTCGATGTAAGGGTAGTGAAGAAGGAATCGCTTGGCTTCATATCAAACAACTAATGAAGCACCATCCCGATGAGTGGAAGACAATAGACCTATTTGCATTAGGTCTGTATGGTCTAATTATATTCCCAAAGACCTTGGGATACATCGATGCCATCGTAGTAGAGCTATTCGAACAACTCTCGAGAAGAGTCAATCCAGCACCAGCCATCTTGGCTGAGACCTTTCGATCTCTCAATCATTGCCGAAGAACTGGCGGAGGAAGATTTACCGGGTGTATTCAGCTCCTTCAGGTCTGGATTCACAGCCACTTCTGGAAGACTAACGGGGTTGCCTACCGCCGTTTCAGCACCACCTATTCACCTCTAGGTGAATTCATCACCTTGAAATGGCATGAAGGCGCTTCGAAGGAAAAATGGATGAAGGTCTTTACACATCTTCAGGATCGAGATATTGTCTAGAGAGCCCCCTGGTTATTCCTCAGTGATGTTCTTTTTCGATGTGGTGACTCCGACACTGTGACCTTACTTGGACTTTGGGGTGCAGTTGGGTATGATCCATTGTTAGCACTTAGATAGTATGGGGCACGTCAGTTTGTCCCAGCAACATATGGACTAGCTAGGTCAGAGTTTAAGTATCACGATGACAGCTATAAGAAGATGATCAAGGAAGTAGCTGATTCATGGAGGAAAGTATTCAGGATGGATGTTGTAGCTGCCAGAAGCATGCTTACTCCTGATTATGTAGAGTGGCGAAGGTTAAGGAAAAATGACAATATTCAAGTACCAGACTATGAAGACACCCGTACCATGGAGGAACATCTCATGCATGTCCCTTCTGAACTCGAGATAGCCAAGACCGAGTTTGAAGCTGTGAATAATGAGCTAAAGCAGAGGATAAGGGAACTTGAAGCTGAACATTATCAGTGGAAGCTTGATGCTGACTCTCAGAAAGATCGAGCAGATAAACTGGAAAGAGAACAGAAAAGGGCCCGCTTTGAGCTCGAAGACCTGAGAAAGGGGTATCAAGATAAAGTCAAAGATAACTCCAAGTTGAAAGTTGCTTCCGAATACTGGAAAGACGAAGCTCATAGCCTGAAAAGGAAGTTCGAGGGGCCTGATGAGAAAGCTTGGAAGGAACAGATGAAGACTGCCCAAAGACGCTTGGTGGATAGTCAATATCAGAACCAACGCTTGAGAGTTCAGGTAGCTGACTTAGAAAAACAGCATGAGAAAAATGGCAAGATGATAGCTGAGTTGGAAGCTGTTATAGATGGGTTCAAGAGGCAAGCAAACGAGCTTCAGATAGTGCCCTTCGATGGAGGATTACAATGGCGTTTCCGTTGGGAGCAAGCACAGCGAAGGGTGAGGGCCCGAGATGCAACCATCCGAGATTTCCTGGATCAAGTGCAAAAAGCAGCCGTCATCTTCACGGCTTAGCAAGGGAAGCTGGAGTGGTTCGACAAGGCATTCAACCAGTAACAGATGAAGGCAGAAGACTCGTCAACCTACTGGAAGCCGTTCGGGGTCTAGAGGATTTAGTCCGAATGTACCTTTAATTTGTTTATATGTCTCTAAAAAGATAAAACATTTTTGTCTGAATAAGGATTATTTATAATAATGAACACTTTTCTGGATCAATGCCTCCAATTGCATACATCATACATTGCATTTCTTGCATTTTGTAACA